TTTCTTCACATTTTTGCTTGTTTATCGATTTTTTATGTACAAATAGGGAGTTCAAAGGCGTTAGCCTATTTCCCTCAAATACACTGACTGACTGACTGGCTTAGGAGTGACAGGAGGGACCGCCATGATGGAGGTCTTGCAATGCATAAAAAAAGCAACTTAAGAGGATGAAAAGATCGACAACATTACCGACGACGCAGAGGCTATTATAGGTACAGGATTTGCAGTCCCTCGAAGCTGTAACTATATAACGGCAGGCCCCGACGTAGAAATTATTATGGTGGAAGCATAAAAGGGATCAGCATTCGTCCGGATTTTAATGCACCCTGCATTCAGTGTAGCCATATGTGACGTTTTGCAGGATTACTCTTGTTAAACGTGTCATATGACGTTTCTCTATTAACTAACATCTTTTTGTAAAGAGCGCTATACAGCAATTTTGGGAAGAAAATAACGTCTTGCAGGATTTTCAACATGGTTTCCGGACAGAAAGTTCCTGCCTCTCAAATCTGCTAGCTTGTCTGGAGATCTGGACCAGGGCTCTAGAGGAGGGTTTTGAGGTCGATGTCGTGTACATTGATTTCCGCAAAGCTTTCGATACTGTTCCGCACCAACGTCTTCTTCGCAAATTGCGCGCCGGAGAGATCTTCTGAACTGGATTAGGGCGTTTCTGGTTGGTCGGAAACAATGTGTCTGTATCGGAGATGATATGTCAGAATGGGTGAATGTGACCAGTGGTGTGCCGCAAGGCTCAGTTCTGGGACCATTGCTCTTCATCTTTTACGTTAACGACAGCCTTCAGGAACTCGACTGCGGCAAAATAATGTTTGCAGACGATGTTAAGCTCTGGGAAGTCATTAAGGGTCCGAATGATGAGAGATCCCTTCAAGATAATTTGCACCGATTGCAAGCGTGGTCGAAGAAATGGATTCTAGATTTCAATGTGGAGAAGTGTGCCGTCCTTCATCTGCGTCCAACCAACTCTCATTCAAATGAGAGCCTGAGGACATATCACCTGAAAGATATAAGGCTCCCCGCAGAATCTTCACAGAAGGATCTCGGGGTTTGGATACAGAACAACCTGAAACCAACACTGCAGTGCCACAAGCCTGCAAAAAATGCCATGGGAGTGCTGCATGCAATAAAAAGGGCTTTCGTAAACTTTGACCAAGACCTTTTTGGGAGAGTTTACGGCACGTTTGTTCGGCCCCTATTAGAATATGGCATACAGGCATGGCGGCCATGGCTAGTAAAGGACCAAGCATGCCTCGAACGGGTACAACGGCGTGCAACAAAGCTGGTAAACGGTCTAAAAAGCCAATCCTTAACAGACTGACTGAATTGCCTTAATTTATTCCCTCTGTGTTACAGTCAGCAAAGAGGTGATCTTATCCTCGTCTACAAGATAATACATGGCCTTGAGTATGGAATTAAATTTGAGGACATGTTTTAATGGCACCTTTCACCCAATATTCGTGGTCACTCGATGAAGTTACGGACAACAATGTCCGGGCTGAATCTTCGTTCTGAATTTGTCACGCAGAGGGTAGTGGAGAAATGGAACGATCTCCCTCAGTCAGTCGTGGAGGCTACGTCCCTGCAACTCTTCAAGAAACGCCTGGATGATTATTTGTGTCCCCTGTTGTCCCTCGACGGTCTGAATCTGAACTAAGACCCCACGTCCCCACAAATATTTTCTCTGAGACAATGCTACTCAAATGAATCAAGTACTGTTTTAATAGCGAATATTTTTATTGTTCGTGAATAATTATTTCAAATGAGCTGACACGTAATCAATAGGGTTTTCAAGGGCTTTGCCTACTATCCTTATCAAATAAACTCAATAAACTGAATAACTAATCTGTTGCCGTTATTCATTTTGATCTTATTAGAGCCTTTAATAGGGTGCCACATAGAAGACTCTTAGTCAAATTAGAAGCTGTAGGACTTCACAGTCCCCTTTTAGACTTTATCAAGTCCTGCCTGTCTATTCGTAAACAAAAGGTTGAAGCGGGATCTTCATTTTCAAAGAGAACCCTATTGTAAGTGGTGTCCCATAAAGTACCGTCTTAGGCCCTCTTTTCTTTCTGCTTTACTTTAATGATATCTCGTGTCAGTTAAACCTTCTCAATCATTTAGTCTTACTGATGACTTCAAATGCGCATATTCATTCACTAAATCCACGGCCAACTATTGACTGGAACAAATCCATGCTGATTTGTTAGTACTTTCAGAGTAGAACTCAAAATGGTTAATGGAATTCCCTCCGTCTAAATGTCGCTATGCGTGTTTTAGACCTGATAGGCTACCCCAGCCAGTAGACTTTCAATGTACTACTGTGTAACGCAAACAAACGAGACGAGGATTATTAACACTATGCATAGTCCTTTCCGATCCCCAGTGAGAAGGACAGACGGGCTCCTAAGGGGAGTTTAGGCATCGTTTATGGCTACAAAAGACGGGCTTCGGAGTTCGGGCTAAGTCGGGAACAGTGGGATGTCCTATGGCGGGGACAGGCCTGTTTGGATGCAAGCCTTTTTGGGTCCGAGCGGAGGAGACGACGCAGGAGCGACGGTGGCGTCCAGAAGGTGTCCTCCGGTACAAGGGTAACCAACGTCAGTCCTCCTCAGTTTTTATAGGGCCTCCAGACGGTTTGGATAGGTTCACATAAAAAAAGACCATTGGGTATGCGTAAATAAATTCCAAGAATACAAGATGAAGATGGTCAAGAATCTTCATAATTTGCCTTACGAAACCAGGCTGACCGAACAAAATCTGTTTCCTCTAAATTACAGGCAACTGCGCGGCGATCTCATTCAAACCTACAGGATTGTCAGAGGCCGTGAGTGTGCCCTAGACCTTGGTGAATTCTTCGAATTGGCCGTAACTGACCGTCTGCGTGGTCATCCCTTCAAACTGCAGAGGAAGCGGGCTCATGCGGACGACCGACGGAACGCCTTCTCTAACAGGGTCATTGGGGCATGGAACGGACTCCCTGATGCCGTCGTTCTTTCCGAAAGTGTCAAATTCTTTAATTGCAGTCTAGATGCTCATTTTTGAGAAACTACTGTACATATAATTACGATTGTTTTAGCGGCGGCAGGTTGCGCCTGGCTCACACTTACCGCTATTTTTAGAACTTTCCGCATTTGCTGGTGTAATTGATGACTTTATTATTGTTTATCGATATGAATAGGGAGCTCAAGGGCGAAAGCCTCTTTTGCTTTATAAAGTGGCTTAAGAAAGTATATCGTAGCCAGTAGGAACTTCGGGACCGTTTTTATTGACATTCTGACTTTAGACAAGTTTCCACAGGATCGCTGATAGGCAAACTGAAATACGCAATGGTTAGTCGAACACTTTCGACTTAATCTGGCGAGATCCAATCAGACCGACAGTTAAAAGTGTCCTGGACCAATAGAATTGGAGAATATAAAATGGCAAAATTGCGTGTGCAATCCAGTGGGAACACCGAGATTTGTACTAGCAATATGT